TACTGAAAACCAGCCAATACACAGACATGGATGAAGTGGAAGAGACAAGCAAAGCTTGATATTGCCAGAGCTATTATAGGATCTGGATGTGACACATGTCTGCTGCTGGGACCTGCGGGCGTATGTTCATAGCATGGTGGGGTTTAATTGCTGCAGCGTTAGACAAAGCAGCTCCTTGTTTGAGGTTTCTTCTTCCTTTCCACTTTCTGCCACCTTGCTCCGATATGCCTTGGGATGCAGTTTCACATGCTGCCTCCTCCCCCTCTTTCCCAGTCACGCATCCATGTATATTCTCTGTCAGCTCCAGTACACAGCCACACAGCACCGACCCTTTCACAGCTGTATGAGCTTACACCAGCTTAAACCAACCCCAAAGCCAAGCCCCTCCAGACCTGATTCGTATCAAGGTTAGGAAGGAGCCACACCAATGGCTCATCCCAGCACTGCTTATTTTTTCTGATACAAAGAGCCCAGAGCCGAGATGGTTCAAGAGCTAAGCTGACCCCTTTAGAGTGGAGATGGTTCTGCCAATTTAGGCCCTTGAACCACCTTTTGCCAAGGTACAGCAAATGCTGTTTGGTCCTTAAGGGACCAGGAGTTGGAGTGCCACAGCCAGCAGAATAGAGGCCCCACAAGCCAGAGCCTGATCCGCTACTCCCAACCAAGTTGAACAAGGCAGGCCCAGGTCCAACCAAGAGTCTAGATCATCAGGGAGGTTCAGGGTGGTGAGACCAAGGCTGAGACCAAGCAGAAATCAACTGTCAGTTCCTTAGAACAGGAACTGTAACTTTGTGAGGGCACTGTCTCCTGAAAACTCAGCTCCAAAATGAAGGATGCATCAAGTGACACTGGGTCCATTCCAGCAGCAGGCTTTGGAACACAGTGCAACAATTGCCAGGCAGGCCTATAATGGTAAGATGGGCCCGAGGTGAAGCAGGGAAGTCCATCCATGTGCCAGTATACATAGCAGCAGGGTCCATAGCCAAGCACTGGGATGCTGGAGTTACAGAGTATTAGTCCTTCAACGTAACCCAGATAGGGGCTTAGTGGGGAGCCAACGCTGAGCTTAAATAAAGCCCCTGGGCAAGGGTGGGGTGGGGTTGGAGGTCCCAGATGAGGCTGGTCAGTCATTAAGAGCAATGAGTGCCCTCAGGCTCCTGCCACTTATCATCTAGGTACAGGAATACTAGAGCTAATGCCAGTGAGAAGGTCAGGCCGTGCAGCTGGGATAGGGTTTCTGCAGCACCAGCCCAGGCTTGCCTGCCCTGACCCTCTGAGGTGACATTTCACATTACATCTGAGCTCATCTAACAAGCTGCCTGCAATAAAAAAATCTCTTTTGTTTCCTGTATGCTCATCTGGGCAAGTGCATTCAACTGACTGGTCCCATAGAAAACTAACCCTCTGATGAGAGGAAGAAAGAGCAATGTTCCTCCAGATCAACCAGTTAGGTCAGCTCCCCCCAGCTGCTGGGGTGTTAGATCCAGCAAAGGGTGGGCTAGGAGCAGTTGAACCAGTGCTTTTGGCAGTAAGATTAAACTTGTTCAGCTGTAACACGAAAGTGTTCCCTTCATCTCTGTGTTTGGTGTGTAACAAAGAAAGACATCCACGAGGTCCAGGTACCTCTGAGCTGGATACAGGGATGACCCACAGTGGGTGGCTAAAGGTACAGAATAGGTCTATGGCAGATGGGGAAACTAAGTGCAGATTCCCCAAGTCTTCATTTAGCTTCAGAGTGTTAGATACATACAGTGTGAAAGGATAAATCATTTATAATTAAACCCCAACCCCTTATTTTTAGCTGCAAATCTACCAAAGTGCATGCAATTAGCAAATATAAATCACTTCCTGGCTTGAAGACTGTGCAGCACAGCACATAAAGGAAAGTTAAAACATACGTTTGGGGAGTACATGGTACATCTGCTCTCAATCTGCAGCATTTGGAAATCAATACAGTTATTCCCCCTACTTTTCCTTCAGCATGCTGCAGCCTGTCATACCACAGTGAAGGAACTAAAACTATATTAAACAAAGGAACTGGAGTGGACACAGCCCTAAACACCATAAAATGAACAGCACAGAGTATTCGTAATGAACTGATGGCAAAAAGCAGTAGAGGCAGGATAAGCGCTGGCTTGGGAGGACAAATTAGTTTCTCCTGCATGATCTGCAGGATGCTTTGGAGATGTAACGCTCAGATAAAGCTTCAGAAGGTGACTCTGGGGAGAGGAATCAACTGCTTGATGCATGCCTACATACTTTAAAACAAGGAAAGGCTTGTAGTCAATATCTTTGTGGAATTAGTTCCCGCAGGGAAAATGTATTACACACAAAACTTTTTGATTCTTTTTTTGGTTTAATGAAAAGATAGCAAAGGAGCTGCTGTCTGGGAGTGATTTGTAAGTACAATAAACCTCACAAGAGGATGATAAGCAAAATATTGTAAGAGAATAATGTCAGAAGTACAGCAAAATAAAAGAGAAACATTACACATTTGTAGTTGCTGACAAAGTGCGTTCTGAAGTATCATGTCACATTCTAAAAGAATCCTTGTTTTCCTTCCCATCTTTCACTAGTACTCCTATTAATCTGTACCAGATTCCTTTCTTTCAACCATTTGAGGCCACAGCAATAATCATCCTTTGCCCATCTGAAGTCCAACTAGAATTACACCAATGTGTTAAGGCTTCCGGAGTGGAACCTGGAGATGAGGGTGGAACTGCCTGTGGATCCCTGGAATCTGTGCATCCACAGACAGACCACATGTAAACATGATTTCACTGCTGAGTTTAAATGCTGACAAAACATGACAAACAACATGGTGCTTTATAAAGATTGGGGATGTACTTACACTGTCAGCTCTTTAGAACAGGGATTTTGACTAACTTTGTGACGACACTGTCTCACTTGATGCACCCTTCATTTTCTAGCTGAGTTTTCAGAAGCTTATGAAAGGAACAGGAGATATCAATGTGAATTTTCTGCATTTCAAAAGAAAAACCAGCCACTGCAAAGAGAACAGGCAAGCACAAGACAGACATATAATGTGCAGTGTGGTTTTCCCCAGCAAGTTAGATGTCTTGTAAAAGTCTGCTGCAGACAGTTAAGAAATACAGATACTGGATATCATGCATGTGAAAAAATGTGTGTTCTATGAAAGCTTTCCCTTTTGTTCAGAATGACATTAGGAAAATGGTTGATAAACCTGGTGATCATGACAGAACCCTGGTAAGCAATTAATTCGGGTTCTAGTATTGGTGGCTTCAGCAGGAGTAAGGAAAGACACCAAGGACAGGGAGGTGATGGATTGCACTTGATGCATTGTTTTAGTTACGGGTTAAATCCAGCATTGGTCCCTGTCAGGATGTTTCCTGAGGTGCCTTTCACTGGTCAGCTGCCGAGCAGCACAAAGTATGTCCTGGAGGTAGGGGACACACATCCCCTGCCTGCCAGGGGCCCCTCTATTTTGAAGGCCACGTCAAGCCAATGAGTAGGTGTGTTTGTGCTAATCTTTACAACAGCTCTGTCTCCTCAGGCTGAAGAAGAGGAAAAGCAAAGGACTGGCAAAGGACTCTTTAGGAGGGAATGATGGAAGAGAGCACTGTCAGGGGTCAGAGGACAGGTTGTAGCCCTGGGGTATGACAGGGCGAGTGTCAGGAGGTGCAGTACAATCTTGTTCAGATAATCTAGTTCAGTCTGTGATCTGGGAGTACTTTGGAAATTGGCAGGAGACTATGGAAAAGATAAAAGGAAAAGCCTTGAAATAGACCACAATTCTTTCCCTTTCATATGTGTATTACACTGGAATTTTACATATGTAGCAGAAAGACTCTGTTCTTTATATCCTGAAATTACATACCTCCATAATATGTGATGTTGCCCTTCTGGAAGAGTGAGGGTGATAGAATGGGACACAAACACCAACAAGTACTTAATAACATATGCAAATATTGGCACACTTATTATGCATGATTTTAGTTGTTATTACTTTTTTTCTTTCATAACTGTGCGTTGGCACCTCAGCATTTCATTATATTTCATATTCCTTGAGCAGGGCACTTTCCAAGTGTTAATTTAACAACCAGGCGTGGTGGAGAGTAGGATGGTCAATGGGAGAAGCGTGTAACAGCGATGCTTCCATACAGTCACACAGGCTCTACGTGTGACTATATTCACATTTCAGATGCTGAGCTTTGCAGTTACCCTTTGGGAGGAAAGAGCTGCCACTGTTTCATCTCTAACTTTCTCATTAGCCCCAAGAGTGAGTCTTAAAAGGAAGGCAATGGATATCCAGCTCAGTTCAGGCATGAGCAGGCTGTCCTTTTGCAAGATGTCTCAGGTGATTTCAGGTGAAACTCCTCCTTAACATCAAAGAGGCCACAATTCCTCTTGCAAAGTGGGTTTGCTTTTTCTAAACGGAATCAATGAACCCAATCCTCAGCAAAACTGATTCAGGGAGAAGGTTGTTAAGGCCATCATTTGGAAAACCGAACTGCGTTAATCCATGGCTCCACACCATTTGCAGGTAGCCCCATCCCTATATGTAGTAAGTAGCCCTGCTGGGAAGCACCATGATTGTCATCAGCACGAACAAGGGAGATTTCACCACCGCCCTAAACATATCATCTTTGTTGCCAGGCATGTGAAGCTGTAAACTTCTGCAGTCATTAGGGGAAGAAGGATGTCACAGTTTTTGCAGGAGAAAAATAGATGCCAGAGTCCTCGCTTTGACAGGTTAATAAGAAGGCCCCTAAGTTTGCCTTTACAATTTATTTACTTGTAAGGCTACACAGGGATTTCGTTAGGGATTTGGCATCTTAAACAGGCTTTTATTCCAACAACATTTCAATTCACCTTTAAGGCTTTCAATTAGAGACAAAGTGAACTAGAGATCCATCGGTGGAATTTGCGTGGAAGTTAGCAGGGGGTTGGCAAAGCCGTGATAGCAGGGTTTAGGTATCAGGTTTATAGACTTGTATTGAACTATCTAACATCTCGTATTTTCCACGTAAAACTTTTATTGATATCAGCGTGAGTTTAGCACACCACTAAAATGGAGACTGTGCCCCTAGGACACAGAATGTTGTAAGGTACCCCTTTTAGTGAGAACAATTTGGCCCCACTAAATCTTGATGGTGAATGTTTGCTTTAGTTCCCCCATAAACTTCGTCTGCTGGATTTATATATTTTGGCTCCTTTTATTTTGACTCTAGTGGCTACGTTTGCAATGGGCTTAAGTGAATGCAATTCCACTCACACCAGCAGCAAATCTGCAGCACAGTGGGTATTTCTGGTTATATAAATACAGGGCCTCATCTGGCAAGATGCTGAGGGGACTAACGTGGCCGGGTGAGATCCGAGAGCGCTCAGCACCTCGAGGGAGAAATTCCAGACCTTGCAGCAACTGCACCTCCCTCCACACAGCCTGTCTGCGGTCATTTCTATAGCCCTTTGTCCCAGTCAGAGCTCACAATACGTTTGCTTATCATCTTTTCCATCACAAGCACCAAAGCGAAAGTATTCCTTTTCCTGGCTCTTACAATTCTTACCTCTATCTGCAAGAGAATTATGTAAATGAAGAGGATGATGAAGAGGTTTTTCCCCTCGGTAGCTCTGTGAAATTCAGCTTTCACTCGCGTTGGGGTGGGGGTTTTCAATAAAGCAGTATTTCAGGAGTGGCTTCAGTGGGATTTCTTAATTCTTCTGCTCTATTTAGAAATGGGTTTTTAAAAACTCATTTCAACTGCAGTGAAAAAGCCTCTGATCTGATAAAGGAGATGAAGTCACTGCACAGGCTTATTATTTGATTTCCATCAGGTTTGAAAGTTTTCTTCCCTGCAGTGCTTTGGAGCCCAGGAGTATTCATCTGGTTTGCAAAAGGAAAGTTCTGCGGAGCAACATTTGGTCACTGCTGTCTGAATTTCATTATTCTCTTCCCCAGACTAGCAGAGGGGAAAAGTGCAAGTTAGCTGGGTCACAGCCTGAAATGTGAGAGCAGGCAACTTGTGCTGAAGTTTATGGGAATGAAAGGAAATTTAATACTGTTAAAAGAGAGATTTCAAGTTGCATCATATGAAAACAATTGGAGACGTTTAATCCTGAGGTCTTGGGTTATTTGGTAACTTACATGACCATTTGTCAGCCTGCACGAGATGAACTTGGCTTTGCCTCTGTGAAAAGCTGGCCTCTGTTTTGGAGTGGTACCCCAATGCCAAAGGAACAAATACAAGTTATCTTGGTTTTCTAGCCCACTGCTAGTTCTATTCTTTATCCTTTCAGCTCATGACATGTCTGCTTGTCTCTTCTGGGTTGCCAGTGCGGATCTCCCACCGATCTCGCCAACACGTGCTGACAAGCCTTTCATCTCAAAGGGACTACAGAGCCTGACAGCTTCCCAGACTCCTGAAATGCTGAATACATATCCATAATTTAACCTCTGCCTCCCAGCCTGCTTCAGGCCTCATACATGGCATTGTCTGTGGAATGAAAGTGATGGGATCCTGGGATGTAAGTGAATACTTCTGGTGTATTTTTAACCTAAAAGATGTTGATTAAACATTCTTTATATTAGTTTCTACGGAGTACATGAAACTGAACATCTACAGAGCTTTAAAGGTCTATAAATTAGAGATGTTTTCCAGAGTGTTCCAATGCAAAATCCATCAACTAACCCTTAGCAAAATCATTTACTGTTAAGAAAATCCTCCTAAAAAGTAGCCTATGCCTCCTGTGTCATCTCCTACTCCTACCACTGACAAATCCTCTCTGGTTTTGGCATCTGCATCAGCATCTTCAGTGTTTGGCCATCACTGAGCTTCTGCTCACGCTCAGGGGGTGCAGCCTAGCACACGGGGGGTGGTTCTGGGCTCAAGCACACACTGAAGCCAGGTCACGGGGAGCTTCTCCTCACCCAGCACCCCAAGTCCTTCTCCTCAGGCTGCTCTTCTCCACCCAGCCTCTGTCTGTGCTTTCCAAGCAGCATTCTTTGCCATGGACAATTGCTGCAGTGCTATGAAGTGAGGCAGTGCTGTGTGCTGTTGCTACTACAAAACCTGCAGTTGCTATGGAAGATGTTCTTTGCTTTAACGCAGCTGTACACATTACAAAACCCTCTGTGCAGGACAGACCTGCACAGCTTAGGCTACATGTCCCAAACTCCCAGGCTCCCAGCCCAGCTCAGCCAGCCCAGAGCTGCCAGGGGGAGCCAGGAGAGCCAGTGTCTCCCTCTTCTCCCATGAGGGCTTTCCAGGGATGAGACAAGCACTGCAGTGTCTGCTGTTTCTGACTCACCTGATCATACAGGAAATCCTCAGACATCCGCACCGGAGCTCCACAAAGGGACCTTTAGTCAATGCTGAAAGCGTGAACCAGAGGAGGGGTTGCAGATGTTGATGTTAAACATAATATTGATCTTGAAGTCATTGAGGGGTATCAATGCCATTACACCAAGGGGAATGGCTTTAACCTGCCCGAGGGGAGACTGAGCTGAGCTCTTAGGCAGAAGCTCTTCCCTGTGAGGGTGCTGAGGCGCTGGCACAGGGTGCCCAGAGAAGCTGTGGCTGCCCCATCCCTGGCAGTGCTCAAGGCCAGGTTGGACACAGGGGCTTGGAGCAAGCTGCTCCAGTGGAAGGGGTCCCTGCCCGTGGCAGGGGTTGGAGCTGGAGGAGCTTTAAGGTCCCTTCCAACGCAAACCAGGCTGGGATTCTAAGGGCTGAGCTCCCAGAGCCACCATTCCTCAGCAGCAGTCTCACCAGGGCTTTTCTCTCTGCCCTACTGTAGTGAAGCACCATTGCACACAGTGTTTGACACATTGCACACAGTGTTTAACACATTGCACACAGTGTTTAACATCTTTGCTAACTCACATCCATATCCAATTTGAAATATGTTCACAGATTTCCAGGTGTCATCGAGAAGAGACACAGAAAGGGGGGTGACCACTTGGGACAGTGTCAGCAGTGATGTGCTGGTGGGTATGTTACGCCTGTGCTGCCCATTGAGAAGTTAAACTCAGGAAAGTGTCCTTTGGTTGCAGGAAATCCAAGGGAATCTCTGCTAAGAGGGGTTTAATTGGAACACTGCAAACCAGGATGTGTTAGGAATGTCTACCAGAATGGGTTTCATTTTTAATAAGCTGGGTTAAAGAACACAGGCTGGACCCGCCACCCTTCATTAGGGAATGTGCCCCTCAGCCATCTGAACCCACTGACTCCCCTGCTTCCCACACAACTTAACCTTTCAGCTTCCACAAACACAGTTTTATCAGGACACCCAAAGCTAAACTCCAGCGGGCGTGGGGCTCACTCGGACCTCCTGAAATTGGCTGGAGCTCAGGTATTCCTCAGATAAGCAGGCAGGACCTAACGGGGCCAAATCCATTTTGGCATCCTAATAAACTCCTGTTCAGCTGTTTCAAATAACACTTATGTACCAATTCACTTCTTCAGCCTTAGCTGCATAGAACTGATGCTTTCCTTTTGCTTTGTGAAAGGCTGTGCTTCATTCACCCTGAAAGATGCAGGCATCTGGAACTACACAGGACCATCATTTAAATACATATATGTATATATGCATTTTCCCTCTGTCACCCAAGTGGTCAGACTCTCAAGCAATTTGAATTTCTTATGAAGGGAGAAACAACTTGAAGCTGTCACTGACCCAAATTAAACCCTGGCATTGCTTAAAAATCACATTCTTTACTTTTATGCCATGGATTGGAAGAGCTGAGCATCTGCTGACTGCCCTCATAAAACCTCTGCTTTGAGGCTGACTGTAATTACAGAGTACTTTCACGCTTCTATCTCCAGGCAGCACTGGGACAGGATAGATTTATAGCCTCTGACTCCTGTTTCATCCAGTTTTGCACAGTCAGAAGGGAAGATACAGAAAACTTTCTCTCTTCTTCCCCTCTTTCTGGATGAGTGTGTAACACTGGGCCAGGGCAATCCCAAGCACAAATACAGGCTGGGTGGAGACTGGATGGAACAGCCCTGAGAAGGACTTCAGTGTGTGCTTGAGCCCAGAACCCCCCTGTGTGCTGGGCTGCACCCCCAAAGCGTGAGCAGCAGCTCAGGGAGGGGATCCTGCCCCTCTGCTGTGCTCTGGGGAGACCCCCCCTGCAGCCCTGATCCAGCTCTGGGGCAGCAGCACAAGAGGGACGTGGAGCTGTTGGAGCGAGTGCAGAGGAGGCCATGGAGATGCTGCGAGGGCTGGAGCAGCTCTGCTCTGGAGCCAGGCTGAGAGAGCTGGGCTGGGGCAGCCTGGAGAAGAGAAGGCTCCTGAAGGGGAGACCTGAGAGCAGCTCCAGTGCCTAAAGGGGCTGCAGGAAAGCTGGAGAGGGGCTGGGGACAAGGGCCTGTAGGGACAGGCCAAGGGGAATGGCTTGAACCTGCCTGAGGGGAGACTGAGCTGAGCTCTTAGGCAGAAGCTCTTCCCTGTGAGGGTGCTGAGGCGCTGGCACAGGGTGCCCAGAGAAGCTGTGGCTGCCCCATCCCTGGCAGTGTTCAAGGCCAGGTTGGACACAGGGGCTTGGAGCAAGCTGCTCCAGTGGAAGGGGTCCCTGCCTGTGGCAGGGGTTGGAGCTGGGTGAGCTTTAAGGTCCCTTCCAACACAAACCAGTCTGGGATTCTGTGATCCTTGCAGGCAAGTAACCCCACAGGAGAAGATAAAGCCCCATGTGTGCTCCCCAGCATCAGTGGTGATCCTCCAGCCAGGGCAGGTCTTCCACTTAAGCTGCCTTGATGCCAGTGCCTGGGTTATGGATGGACCTTTCTCCAAACAAGTCATTCACCAGCACTGTTTGGAGATCAAAGCTGGTTTTCATTCCAACAGGGGCTGTCTCCAGTGCTTTAGCATTTATCAGGTTCATTCTACATAATTGGATCCTGCCCTATCTCTTCTGGCTCCATCCGGCAGCCCAAGCCTTGCTGCTGCAGCAACAACTGCCCGTGTCATCCTTCATGGAAGCGCTGGAGCCGATCATCCCCAACGGCCTCCCAGCCTCACCATGGGTGGTTAATGGCATTGCAAAGGGACACACATGACTGGTAATGTAGTGCCAGAAACAACACAAGCACTCTGCTTGCGAACTTCCTAAACTCCTCCACTTCCCTCCAGCTCCCCCCGTCTCCCAGGAGCGCTGGATAAACACAGTCAAATGATTCAGAGCTCCGCACAGGCGCTCCCTGGGACACTGGCACTTGCTTTGCTCATTATTCCCTGTACCTCTTCTCTGGGGTTTTTACCTTGTTTTCTGCTCTGGATGGGAGGAGGCTCACTGGGACCCGAGGCAGAGGGATGACCCCACAGCAGGGAGCTGTACAGCACAGTGGGAGCCTCAGCACAGCTTAAAGTCACCCTGTGGCACCCAAGGGAGCAGTGCGAAAGGGTTTTGACAGTGCTTCCAGAATGGCTTTTATACTGGAGGCAAAGGAGCTGAATTGAAGTTGGTGCAGTCTTTCTGAGCAGTACCATGATTAGATGCCATCAGATGGATGGGGCTTGGAGCAAGCTGCTGTAGTGAAAGGTGTCCCTGTCCATGGCAGGGGGTTGGAAGTGGATGAGCTTTAAGGTCTCTTCAACACCAACCAGACTGGGATTCTATGATTTTCCTGAACTGTTTTAACCAGGCTCCAAGTGACCTCTGGGTTACCAGGCTGGGTTTCAGCTTTGGCCTTGGGAGGCTATGCCTGGGGAGCAGCTGGGGGGCCTGGGCACTCACTAAGGACTTCAGAGATGCAGTAGTTTTGACCTGTGAATGAACACCTGGAGTATGGATGAAATCACAAGTGAGGTGTAACAAGACTATGGGTCCATCAGAGACACTTCACCAGTGCTGTCCTCTGGAGAGAACCAGTCCACAGGTGAAACATGAGCAGGTCCTACACAACAAGAGGAGTTTGGAGCTTTTCTGCCCATAGCACAAAGGTGCAGCCTCTGGTGCCTGTGCTCACTGATACCAGCCACTCAAACCATCACCCCACTGCTGCCTGTCAGCCTGGCAATGGCACCTCTGCAAGACCCACCAGACTGGGACCAGAACCCACTGAGGGCAGGTTGGTGGCTGATTCCCACCCTGTGTATGGCCATGGTTCCTTTTGTCAGTGAGCTCTTGTGATGAGTTTTCATCATTGCACAGCACAAATGGAGCGCAGAAAGGAGATCCTGCATTATGTAAACAGGGGGTAAAGATTAGAACACGTATGAGGAGCGAGACATCTGGACCTGATTGGACTCCTCCGGGGCAGGAGTCTAAAGCCTGAGCCTGAAGAGGAGGAAAGAGCAGGAGTAATTTCCCATGGGAATACCCATCAGTGAGAGGGGCTGAGGCTCTGCATCCTCGGCAAACACAGCCCATGAATGGTGCTTCCCTGGTGCTGTGCAGTCACTGGCTTGGAGGGAAGCTGCTGTAGCACAGCCCAGAGTAAAAGTGAATTTCTTGAGAAAATCATGACTAACTGAACCTCTGAACACAGAATGGAATTCTCCAGTATTCATAGTGGGACCAGTTATCCCATTCCACCAGCCAGGTTTCCTTCACTTGCTGTGTATTCAGAGACCTGCCAGCATTCAGCAGCTGCTGGGAGCTGTAGGTGCAGTGGAAAGGACAAAGACTGCAGCTGAGAGCACAGGAAGCTTTGCATCATGTGCTGAGGAGGATGCCCCCCCCCCCGCTGTGTGCTGGGCTGCACCCCGAGAGCGTGAGCAGCAGCTCAGGGAGGGGATCCTGCCCCTCTGCTGTGCTCTGGGGAGACCCCCCTGCAGCCCTGATCCAGCTCTGGGGCAGCAGCACAAGAGGGACGTGGAGCTGTTGGAGCGAGTGCAGAGGAGGCCATGGAGATGCTGCGAGGGCTGGAGCAGCTCTGCTCTGGAGCCAGGCTGAGAGAGCTGGGCTGGGGCAGCCTGGAGAAGAGAAGGCTCCTGAAGGGGAGACCTGAGAGCAGCTCCAGTGCCTAAAGGGGCTGCAGGAAAGCTGGAGAGGGGCTTGGGACAAGGGCCTGTAGGAGCTGAACACATCCCTGGCAGTGTTCAAGGCCAGGTTGGACACAGGGGCTTGGAGCAAGCTGCTCCAGTGGAAGGGGTCCTTGCCCATGGCAGGGTTTGGAGCTGGGTGCGCTTTAAGGTCCCTCCCAGCACAAAACAGGCTGGGATTCTATGAAGTCAGAGTCCCAGCTGAGGAGAGCTGTGCACTGCCAGGGAGCTGTTTGCACCATTATGGGAAGGGAGCAGCTTTTAACACACAGTTTGAAAATCACTCACAATTCCATTAGAGGGAACTCAGGACTGACCTGCTTTAAAAAGAGGCCAAGCATAAACTGTGGGGTCACTTGTTCACACAGTGCTTAAAAGGCAAATTAGAGCAGCCAAATTGGTTTCCCCCACTCATCCCAGCTCCCTGGTTTAGTGCTTTGCAGCCAGCTGTGAGGAAACCCTCCATCATCCCACCCCAGCAAGGGAAGTGTCGGGTTCATGGGCTTGAATCAGACCAAACCTCTACGGTGCAAATGAAATTTCATCCCTTATTTGATCCTCACCAATTTACATTGTTCTCAAGTTTGTTATTTATCAGGAGAGCCAATGCTTCCGTGCCATATGTGTCCCTCCAGAAGCTGTCAAGTAGATTTAGGCTTGGTCTTCAAATGCTCAGAAGAAAGGAGACTCCCCGGCTTAATTTGGGAGCTTCCTTGCTGACTGCATCTGCCCTTTCCTGCCCATGCAGCTCATGCTTCCAGAGGGATTCATTTGGCAGAAGTCACTGGAGCATCTATGCTAACGCTGCCTGACATGCAGTGTGGAAACGGAGTCATGGCTGCAGCCCCAACTACGCCAAACAGTTTCTCCATTATAACAATTACAAACCTCCTCTGCAGCTTAAAAAGGGAAGAGTGAGCCGGGAAGCAGCAGCAAAGAGGAATTCTAATCATAGCCCAGCACCCAGTACTCTCAGGGAACAAGGGCTTCGATTAGAGACTGAAAACTGAAGTCACCAGTAACAATGCAAGCAGGGAACCACAGGATCCCAGCATGGTTTGGGTTGGAAGGAACCTTAAAGCTCATCCAGCTCCAACCCCTGCCACGGGCAGGGACCCCTTCCACTGGAGCAGCTTGCTCCAAGCCCCTGTGTCCAAGCTGGCCTTGAGCACTGCCAGGGATGGGGCAGCCACAGCTCCTCAGAGAGGCTTCACAGCAGTGATTTGCTTGAAAATGGGGGTTTAACCCTTTGTCCCCTTGGTGCTTGCTGGGCCTTTGGATTTCTTCTGCTGTGTGTAATTCAGTGGTGTGGCATGGCTCACCGGGGCAAGGCTTTGTGCTCCATGGGAGCAGCTCTTGGCACCTGCGCTGCCTCCAGGGCTTTTCCTTTCACTGGGCAGATTGTGAGCAGGAGGAATGGGCAGTGCGTGGCAGGAAGGAGCTGCAGGAGCCCAGCGCTGGCACACAGCGGTTTGGTGATGGCCCTTGGCACTGTCAGCACAGACCAACCCTCGGCATCTGGCTTTGTGAGGCACTCACGGTCACATGCTGGGGTGGAAGCTGGTCTGTCTCCACATGCACGGGTTGTTTGGGTTTGGTTTTCCCTTTCTCCTCCGAGTGGGAGGAACCCACACTCCACCCCTGCGATGTTTCACTGTCAAGAGGAATCCCTGTTGCCATAGTCTGTGGCCAGACTCCAAGCACAAGCATTGCTTCCTCTGACAACTGACCCAGCGTTCATCCAGATAAACTCCTGGTGTTCTCCTGCGTTGTTGGCCTGAATCCAGCCAGCACAAAGGCAATGGCTGGTCCAACACCAGAGCACGGAGGGGACAGGGCTGCAGTGGAAAGGGCACGGTGGTGGCTTTCCCCACCCATCTGGGTGACAAAGCCATACCAAAAGAGGGAAGTCACCTACACTCATTCCCACTAACACTTTACTAACGTATTTTCAGCTGTAACAGCCTTGAGATGCAGGGAGTAAACCAAAGGGGTCTTGTGGATTTACCTGGGGTTGTTTTCCAAGCCCCCCTGTTGCTGGAAGGTGTCACCTCCAGGGATGAAGGGAACTGTGTCAGCAGGTCTGGTCCTCTGCAGGGCAAAGTCAGCCAGCTGGGCCGGGAGCAGGAACACAGCTCAGCTCCAAGGGATGGCTTCCTGGAAAAGAGCTGGAAGGTGCAGCTGCAAGGTGTTAACATTGTTAACATGAACAACTGTATCCAAAGTGACCCTTCTCTGTGCCTTTGGAAAACATTGTGAGCATTAATGCCAGCAAATCTGATTATTCCAAGGAGAGGCTGAGAGAGCTGGGCTGGGTCAGCCTCGAGAAGAGAAGGCTCCTGAAGGGGAGACCTGAGAGCAGCTCCAGTGCCTAAAGGGGCTGCAGGGAACCTGGAGAGGGGCTTTGGAGAAGGGCCTGTAGGGACAGGCCAAGGGGAATGGCTTGAACCTGCCAGAGGGGAGACTGAGATGAGGCCAGGTTGGACACAGGGGCTTGGAGAACCTGCTCTAGTGGAAGGTGTCCCTGCCCATGGCAGGGGTTGGAGCTGGGTGAACTTTAAGGTCCTTTCCAACACAAACCAGGCTGGGATTCTGTGATCTTGACCTCCACATTCAACCAAACAAGCTCATCAAAACAATCTGTTGTTCTTCCAAAAGGAGCCTTTCAAGATGTAAGGGAGGAAAAACACCTAATAGAGCACTGCACAGTAATTGTGGCCTATGTCCCTTTAATATCCTACAATGCTTGTTATTGCTTATTCCTGTGTGGAGGGTTCGTTGTGGGTTTTTCTTACAGAGCAAGCAAATGGATATCAATTTATATCACTGGTTTTGAAAGGGAAAAATCCACTTGAGTGAAAAATACTCAGCCCTAATACACAGCCTTCACTGGCTCAGAGACACCACAGTTAAAAGACTGTATTAACAGGGGTAAAGTGTTTGTGCTTCTTTTCCAGGGAAGTTTCCAAGGCAGAAAAAAGCCTCTGTATTAGTGAGGAACTCCGTGTCTTTGTGATTTCTAGAGCCTTTTGTTGAAGCAGAAGAAAGGGAAGTACATCTGCTAAAGGAAGAGGCTGGGCTAAGGAGCACCACACAAGCTGCCAGCGGTGCTGTGCGGCGCAGAACAGCAGCACAGCCACGGGCACACCAAGTGTTGGCAGGGGCAGGGCTTTATTGGCTATTCTCAGCAGTTCAATAGTGTTCTTACATACAGAGATAAGACTAATATTCCTCTTTTAGTGACAGATGTGACAATAGAAGGGGGACAGGCTGACTTCCTTCACTCGTGAGCATCCAGCGTGGTGTCTGACCAAGCCTTTAGGTGATGACGGTTGGACCGGTGCGGCCAGTTCTTTCATGGAGCTGGGAGAGTTTCAGTGCAATAGAAATGAGAGGTGCCAACATGACCTGCAGAAAGGGAAGAGGTGGCTCAGAACCACGGAGCAGAGTGCACATCATGTCCCCTGTTCCCTCAAGGGCATCTGGTGTCAGCCAGGGACACCCAAAGCCCAGCACTGATGGTCAAAGGACTGCTTCAGGTTCACAAGGGGAGCTGTGGGGCCACCACGGTGAGGGATGTGGTGTTACCACCACATGCAGGTTCAGACAGAAAACCCCAGCACAGCTCCAGTGCCATACTCTGAACTCTGCTGCACCATCGGCACCATTAAATCCTAAGTGCAGTTTGTGCCTCTCAGAACGTGGGGTTTTGAGTCCTCTGTCAATAACAGCACAGCACATTATGCAAAAAGAGCTCAAGGACTCTTTGCTGGGGAATAGAAAATGAGAATTCTTTTCCTCCTGTGCCTACAAGAGAGGTCAGCAGCATTTCTAAATGATGCTGTAAAGAATGTGTATTATTCAGCTCTGGGGCAACAGCACAGGAGGGATGTGGAGCTGCTGGAGTGAATCCAGAGGAGGCCATGGAGATGCTGTGAGGGCTGGAGCAGCTCTGCTCTGGAGCCAGGCTGAGAGAGTGGGGCTGGGTCAGCCTGGAGAAGAGAAGGCTCCTGAAGGGGAGACCTGAGAGCAGCTCCAGTGCCTAAAGGGGCTGCCAATTCCCACATTCTGTATTGGAATGAGCTGATTTTATCCCCAGCGATGCAACATTTCAACTACAAGGTGAGTTCAGGACTGAAACGGTGTCTTCCCACACCTGCAACCAGCCACAGCTGTAACATAAACAGGAATTCTCATGTGGAATTGCAGGAGCAGCTGGGAGGGATTCTGGGTAAGTAACACGGGAGGTTTTTAAATGCATCTATTGTATAAATAGATAAAGGTTGGGATTAAAGGTACTAAAGCCAAAACACCTCACACCTCCCCAGCGCTCTCAGCAATGCAGTACTAAGCAAAGGTTTAATCTTGCTAGGGAGGCTGAAGGGAGCCAGCGGTGCCAGGGCTGAGGCTCTGCACTCACCTGAGGGTCTTCGTGGATCTTCTGCGGGTCCTTCTCGTAGCTGTCGATGTAGAGCCGCACGGTGGCCCCCGCGCTGCCGGTGCCGCTGAGCCTGAAGATGATGCGGGAGCCGTCAGAGAAGATGAGCCGCAAGCCCTGGTACGAGAGGAGGGGAGGGGAGGGGAGGGAAGAAGCCTCTGAGCCTTGTGCTCCTTGGGAAGCCAAGGTGTTTTCCATATGGTTCAGCACAGTGGTGCCTGAGCTGCGTGATCCCTGAGCTCCTCTTTAGGGAGCCACAGCAAACTCCTCCGTTATCCTCTCCCCACTCCCAGAGGAGCTTGTGCCCCTCCTGATCCACCCTGGAGGACTTGCTAGAGCTCCTGAACACAAAGTGTGTTGCTGCTGTAAGATCCCTCACCCCAGTACGTGCTTGGATGGAAACAAGCCAGGTGCTGTCAGCCATTGGAATAACCTCCCCAGCACTGGACACTGTTAAGATCTGGCTGGACAGAGTGCTGGGACATCTGGTCTAGGTCATGCTTTGCCAGGAGAGGTTGGACCAGATGATCCTTGAGGTCCTTTCCAACATGGGGTGGTGTGATTCTATGATTCTCTGCCACACACAGCATTACCAACCCACTGCTCTTCCACAAAAACAGGACATAAAGAAAATGCTCCTGTCATCCCACAGGCAGGGCAATCATTCCTGCAGGATTTCTCCATTATTCCTTCTCACTTACTCTGCTTCCACATTATGCTGCCAAACCATTTACAGGACATTGTTATTTCAGTCACTGGTCACAGGTTACTCTTCTCACATGTATTTAATAGCCCTGTGACTTCTGGAGCCTGGAATTCCATCCCCATTACAGCTGCTCTGCACCACTACCTGCCCTCTTAGGGACAAGCATGAGGGAGTGGCACCAGCTTGGGGACAAATGCATTGAGGGAGGATTTGCTTGCAGCAACCTGGGGGCCTCGTGCTAGAGACAAGATGATACTTGAACAGGGGGGTTGTTCCTCATGCTCCAGTGGGGTTTCAACCCTTCATTCAGCACAACCCATCCCTCAGGTGGTGGCCATCACCCAAAGGACCCCTCTCAACTCAGCTCCATCATTCCTTCCCCTTCAGGGTGGCTGTATAGAAGCTCTGCTCCCCTTCCAAGCCCTGCTGGGGCTGGAGCAGCCTCCAGACCCTTCCCTTTCCAAGGCAGCAATTTCCCTCACATGGAGCAGGAATCCCACCAGCAAACACAGGGCAGAAACAACATTCCAAGGGACAAATGCAGCGTTTGATTTTGTCCATTGCATCTGTTCTGCTTTAAAGGTGAGCCCACAATACACAGCACAACCCCCTCTGAGGCCACATCCAGCCCAGGCCAGGCTGTGCCCACCTGGTTTTTGGAGACGCTTCCATCCACGGGATCGTTGTACTCAAAGTTATCAGCTTTCTCCACCGTGTAGACTTTGTCACCACACGAGAGCTGCTTCCCCACAAAGGAGCGGTCAAACATCACCGCCTCCAGATCCTTCATCATTTTGTTAGCTGCATCTGCATCCACCTCCTCGTAGTCGTACCTACAAGCAGGCACCACAAAACAAAGGTTAGGAAGGGGAGGCTGCCATGAGGGGGAATGTTCTGTGATGTCCTGGTTGTAGCACTGTGCTCTGCCCCATGGATGTGCTCTACTTCTTTACTGCAGGAGAGGACAGGGAGAAAAGAGAGGAGGATCTGTGCACAGCAACATGGCTATGATGCAATGCAAATCCATGGGGTACACCACAACACATCCCAAGCATTCAGCGTCAGGAGAGATGAAAGTGCAGGTTGTGCTGTGCTATTGCACAACATCGTGGTGGTGTACTCCAGCAACACCGACTGCAAAGAACTGATCCATGGCAGGATCTCAGCAGGTTCCTCAGGATAAAACCCTTGCCTGTGCATCCACAGCAAAGTGCAGGTGGGACTGCAGCCAGGATAATGTTCCAGTGCCAGTGCCAGCTTTGATCTCTGTAACCCAGGTAAGAGAGGCAGCAGAGAGCAGCTGAAGTGCACATCAGGATGTGAGACTTTGCATTCCGATTCCCAGCATGATCTGTGCTGCTTTTATTCCCCAGTTGGCTGGAGCACGCATGGGCTTGCTAACCTGCTCCTACTGCACTGCTTGCTCTGCAGATGTACCTCTCGTGCTAAAAGACTGCCTTTTTATTCTAGGCTTTGGCATTTTTTCCACATTCAGCTGCGTGCTGGCTTTGTGGGGTGGGGGAAACAAGAAGGAAAAGGCAAATTCCTTCATCTGGCAATCTGAGACACAACTTTCAGGCAGGTATTCCCAGCTGAAAGGTTCCTGCTTAATGCATTCACCCCATACAGCATTCCCACCTCTGCTTGGAGCAGGCGGGTTCTCACTTCCCTTTCCATCTTCCATATCTACTGCAGTTGAAATTAAGGGTATTTTGGGACTGGACAGGAATTCAACCAGGTGAATAACAGCCTAGGAGCCATGCATCCATTCAATAAGACACTGCCATCACTGAAGACATTACAGGTTATCCTGGGGTTTGTAGTCTCCAGAAACATCCTGTTCCAATGGCAAAAAGGACTCTTGCAAGGAAAAAATATCCATTAAAAGAACAAAAAAGGCACTTTTGCAGAGAAAAAATGACTGTTGCTGCTAAACCCAGGACAAAAAGGCACAGCCTTTGCAGCCTTTGATACTTATTAGATTTATGTTTAGGACAACAAATCCTAAACCAGATATTGGGACAGGTGAAGGTGAGTACCTGCTGGTTTA